GAGGGAGAGGAAGAGGAAGAGAGATGTGCTGTCTAGGAGTGAAAACACTAAGTCTGGTATATATATGTGAGTTCGGAACTGGGCAACTTAGGCCAGGGGGTTGGGCCTGATTTACCGAGATGGTTGTTGGCCTGGCTGTCCTGCCTTGAATAACCGAGGCGGGCAACCAGACCGCCTGCCTCCGAGGGCATTTGGTAAACGCTGGCCAAAGGAATTTGTGTAGCAGTGAGAGTTGGATAGCAATGCTAGGTAAATAACCACTGGTGTTGCCCATTTCCAAAAGAAAAAAAAGTTCCATCAGCTACCGCCATCATCGACCATAGCTCCGACCGCTGTGGCCGCCACCATTGGCAGGGGCAAAACTAGCACAAAAATTTGAATGGTGACCTTTTACTAATGGACCACTATAACTACATGAAAGAATGCATATTTTCTTTGAAAACCCAAAATTTGAGTGGGGGCACATGCCCCGCTCCTTGTGTACTGGTTTCGTCCCTGACCACTGGAATTGTGAACTTGTAGCTAGCGTCGTTGCCTTCATTGGACCCATACCCCTTGCGTGTGCCACTGCGGCTGCACCGGTCGACGCTGTCCGCACGTCGTTGTGCGCTCATATTTCCACCCCGCATGCCTTCGTGCCACTGCCACCGAGCCCTATATAGCTCCTTGCGCGCACCATTGCCACCATACCGACTGACGCCACTTGCACACGGTTGCTGTCATCGGTCCCACCACCCTGCACCTCTTGCACCCACTACCACAAAAGCGATTTAGGAAATAACATCTCTGATTAATAGAGGCGAGCACATCTAGCGGCAGTTTCAAAAATGGTCTCTGGCGGCCTCTAGGAAAATACCTGCTTGTGAAAATTATTTACAGAGGCGGATAACCTAAGGTGACTGCCTCTGATCAAAATCATCAATTAACACAGACATTGCCTTAGGACCCATGTCTTTGTAAATTGATTTTCAAAGGTGGGCATCTTAAGATGTCCGTCTTTGAAAATCGCTATTAACAAAGGAAGCCATTCTAAATGTTTATCTCTAAAATTGGATTTTCAGCAGAGGTGTACATCATAAGATGTTCGTCTCTATAAATAGCTGCATCAAAAATAATTTATCACTTTTTCGTATAAACTCGGATAAAGACAAACTTTATATCAAAAATGTAACCCTTGAGGCAATCTACACATTTGTAGTTGAATTTTTTTTTATTTAAAACTGTTTATAGTCCAAAATATTGTTTTCAGTTCACGGATTTTAAAATTTAAAATTTAAAATTTCCGAACAAATTTGTATGTTGACATGATCTATACCACAGTTGTACTTACAACTTTGTAGTTGAAATGTTTATAGTTTGAAGTCATTTAGAGTCACAAATATACGTTTTAAGCTCATTAACTTTGAAATTCAAAATTTTGAATTTCTAAATGACGTTGAATGTTCACATAGTTAATACCAAAGTAATAGTGGACAACCTAATCTATATTTTTTTTGTTGATAAGTTTTTTATTTAAAGTTGTTCAGTATCTCAATAAATTCGTATATTTTGATATTTTTTTTTTATTTTTTTAAACAATCTTGTATGGAGGCTGATCCTATATCACAGTTGTAGCGCTTGACAAAATATAAAACTTTGCCATTAAAACTTTCAAAATTAGAGTTTATTTTGTAGTCAAATATTCAATATAAAATTATGGAATATTTGTACAAATGATAGAATCAAGTGACCGTGTGGTGCTCTGCTAAGGATGTGTTAGTGCTAAACTGTAGGTTGTAGGTTTGGTTTTTTGTGCCTTGTTCTGCAGTACTATTTCAGTAGAGCAAACAAATAGTGTTTTTTTCTCACATTAAATCAGCGTAAGCATCAGCATAAGCCAAATTTCAGTGAAACCAACAGGGTTTTTCTTTAGAAAAATGTCTACATTACCTCCTCAACTTTCATAAAAGTCCACTTTTTCTCCTCAAACTTCAAAACCGGGCAAAACACCTCCCTTAAATTTTAAAACCGTTCATCTTACCTCCATGGCCCTGTTATAAGCGGTTTTGAAGACGGTTTTGTCTTTTTTTATTTATTTCGGCTAAATCTTTGAAAAATCATAGTAAATCATAGAAAAATTATAAAATGAAAAATCCAATTTTGCTGGACTCCACATGAGTAGATCTACACAGTGAATATATAATATGGTATGCTTTAGTAAAATGTTTTTGTTGTGTCTTTAGATCTTTGTTTTCTGTAATTAAATGAAATAATTTATAGCTGCAATTTCTATGGTCCAATTATGGTGAAATTTTTATGATGGGCTAATTATTGTATACTTGAACTGTAGTAAAAATTTCATATTCATTGGATCATGTCTAACTTAGTTATAGATTTTATTTAGGTTTATGCTTGTTAAATATAAATAAGTCTATAACTAAGCCGTGGTGGTGGGCTGGCTAGTTGGGCTTAAAGCCTGCTCGCCTATTCTTCCTCCCGTTTACGGATAGAAGTGCCCTGTACTTTCCTCGAAAAAAAATAGATACACATCCCTGTACTCTCTCTCGTGGTCTTGTTTCCTGGCGGTGACGGCTGGTCGAGCGGCGCCGCCCTTGGCTGGGTCTTCGCTTGGTCGTTCGCCGGCGACGAGCGTCCATCTGGTACGCCTCTTCCTTCCTCTCCGCTTCCCGGTGCTGTTTGGTTCGTGCCGTAATCCATCGCAGCGGGATCGATTACAGCCCTGTGGAATGCCGATACCGATCCTCCTCCGCTCCTCTCCTCTCGACTCCGCAATCTGTGCTCGCCAGGAACCTCCACCAGCCGGCGACTCCAGTAGCTAGAGTCGCATCCTCACCGGTGAGGGCCACCGGCCACCCCTCCCCTTCGCGACCCCAATCTTTTCTGAAAAACCCTAACCTTGGATGTCCTTGTCCGTGTTCTTGGTTTTGATCTGATTTCCAGTGAAAAACAAGCTCGGTGGATCGCGAGAGTGGCTCGGGGAGTAGGCGACCTTACATCAGTTGGATCGGATAGGATCAAATCAGATTAAGGTGCGTGTGTTCTAGTCATTACCTTTGTTCCCAGCCAAACAGTGTAAAGGGAATGAAAAACGATTCCCTCTTTGGATCACAGGATAGGAAGCATGCAGGGATAGGAAAATCATAGGAATTGAGGTGCTATGGTTTTCCAATCCTATAGGGTTACAAAACACAGGAATGTAAATGAGAGGCCCTTTGGCAACACCATAGGAAAAATAAAGGAATTCTGTATCTTGACAAGCATCTGTAGTCTCATGGTCGTCGTCAGCATGAACAAGCATATTTCAGTTGAGTAATACCTCAGCACGGCATTGTTTCCCTTACATGAAAATAAAATCTATATTAGACAAAAATAAGGCATGTTCAACAGTTGATAAAATCTATTACAAATAAATCAGAAAATTAATTTCACAAAATAGTGTTGAGATCCAAATACCAGGTGTTAATTCAAGTGAAAAAAATGAACATCGGTAAGTGATTCATAGAATCGTAGCTCCGAATCTTACCAGATAGATAGGATATGCATTCTCAGATTGGAAAAAAAATGTGCATGCCTAGGATGCGCATCTTCCCAGATGAAAGATAGAATGTGCATTGTCAGATTGGGGGGAAAAGGTGCGCGGCTCAGATTGGGGAAAAAAAGACATTGTGTGGAAGATAGATAGAAGCTTACGGATAATTTGCAAGATGTAGTGCCTCCGTGCAACCTTTGCTGGATCCGTGGTTGACGATGTGGATTGGGGAGGGTGGCGCCGCTGGGATGGGGCCGACATCGCGTGGCTGGCGAAGGGAGGGTCGCGTTGCCAGCCAGCGCACATGGTGACTACGGCGCCGCCGCCGCCGCCGCTGCCGCTGGAGCACTGCCGCACCGCCACCCGGGTTCCAGACCTCGCCTCCGCCACCGCCTCCTCGCCATCCTAGTCGTGGTCCTCAGACCTCGGCTTGCGCCTGGCTCGCCGCCGCACACTGCCCCCCGGGTCTCCAGCCCGCGCTTCCAGGAAGGTCCGCGGGGGAGGGGAAGGGCGTCGAGGGCAGGCCAGGAAGGTGCACGGGGGAGGGGAAGGGCGTCATGGCTAGCGCGCCAGCTGCTAGCCCCGCGCCCGACGAGCCCTCTCCCCCCACTCTCCCCAGGAATCCGACGCCGCCGGCCATGTGGAGACCCGAGGGTCCGATTTGGATGTCATCTAAAATGAAAGCATTATAGAAAACGATTCTGAGATGGGGATCCAGAAGATGGGGAATCGTAGATGGGGAATCAAGAAGCTACATGACAGAAAGGGGAAAATCCAATGACCTGCACGCCGTGGGTGACTGCTTCATGTGGTCAGCGTTGGGGGAGGACGGCAAAATTGGCGCGAGGGGGCGTCAGCAGCGCGCGCAAGCCTTTCTCTTCGCGCCAGGAAAGTTACCAAGAGGTCTGAGCTCTTGGTTTGTTTCCTGTGAAATCGGCCTCTGGAATGCCATCCTATGGAATTATTCCCATGACTTTCCTGTGAACCAAAGGGCATACATAGGAAAAAATCCATAGGAATGAAATCCTTCAAAAATCCTGTGTTTTCCCTTCAATCCAAAGGAGGAATAAGGGAGCAACCAAACAAAAGCTGTTTTCCTTTACATACAGTGTAACAGGTAGCACCGACATTAACGTTGCCTTTGCCAGCATTGAACCAAACAGCACCCCTTCACGGTCTGCCAACCGAGCACCCTTAAGCCCTAGAGTAAGCTATTTGTGTCCTGATCTGAACCAATTTACATGCACATAATATGTATTATACCCACCAGCTTCAATTTTTTTTGCAAGAAAATTATCGCGTGTACATATTCATGCGCATATCCTATACCAGATCCGTCTGCCCGTGTCATCTAGTTGAGAGAATGAGGGGCGAACAGACTTTTGCTCTGGTCGGGAATTTGGGTGCTAATTTTGTTGTACTGATTTCCAGGGGTCGACTGAACTGAGCACAGGCAGTAGCAAGAGCCACTATGGTAATATTTCCTCGTGTATGTACTGATGATTTGCTTCTTGCTAGAGCTGTGCCAGAGTTCTATTGATGCACCTTTCTTCTGGTGCAGTTGTTCTTCTCCTACTTCAAGGAGCTCGTGGGGAAGGAGGTGACAGTGGAGCTCAAGAATGACCTGGCAATACGTGGGACGCTCCACTCTGTTGACCAGTACCTCAACATCAAGCTCGAGAACACCTGTGTTGTCGATCAGGACAAGTATCCCCACATGGTATGCCTGTTGTTGTGTCTAATTGTTATGCTATCCCAGAATTCATGCCCTTCATCTTAATCCTATCGGTTAGAGCTTGTAGGCTACTATATTATTGCTCCTTGGTTGTTTAATGTTCATCCTTGTTTGATATCGACTTCGTGGGGAACTGCAGGGAAAGGCCATAGTAGTAGCTGTTACTCCCCTGTTCTAGCATCTTTGGGAGTGTGGTGGAAGGTTCCTATGTTCTACAAACTAGCTAATGGCCCATGCGTTGCTACGGGCAAACAAAATTAATAAAATGGTTCACTACTAAGGCCCTGTTTGGATCCATAGAGCTAATAGTTAGCTGCTAATAATTAGGTCCTTTGAATCCAAACAGGTTCAACTAATAGGCTAGCTAATTGTTAACTGAATACCAACTAACAACTATCTCACTAGTTGGACCAAACCAGCTAATACTAGCTAACTATTAGCAGCTAATGAATCCAAACAGGGCTTAACACAACTGTTAAGCATGCTTTGAATTAAATGATCTAGTTCACATGCGTTGCAATGTGAGCCATAGAAAAATTCAATGCTTTGCTCTGGTTGAAGAGACCTCATGATGCCAAAATCAAGATGCAAGGATTCATGTTAATGTGTAGCTTGACGTCTTTCATGCAAATTTTTTAAGAAAAAAAATTCAGATCCAACAAGATTAACCTAATCATATTCTACCCATTTTTTGAATTGTTCTTGTTGGAATATATTAACCTAATCATATTCTACCCATTTTTGGAATTGTTCTTGTTGGAATATATAATTAATTGTGTCCACCACCGAGATATGCAACATCAACCTTTTACTTTATAGTGGTTAAAAAATGAGAAAAGGGCAATTTCCTCCTGGTTTTGATTTAGAGTTAAGTGTTACAAATAAAGCTAAACAGCTTTGTGAGGCATACCAAAAGAGCTGCCTTATCGATTAACAACCTACCAGTCCACCGTTATACTAGCAAATCAGTAATATCATGCTAAACCAAAGGAAATTGATGCAGTGAGAGAAACAATGCCATGCTGCAGGAATTCATGTGGGCAGCTCTCATTTTGCTTTTCTTCTAGGATAAAAGCAGCTAACGAATTGATTAGATCCTTCCACTAATCCATGGCTCCAGGGATACCAATTTCAACTGAGATTGCTCAATCTGTTGGTTCAAAAATAATACACTTTAGTAGTTATCAATGTTTTGTTAAACATTAGCTTGAAATTTAGAGAGCTAGACGACATATCTAGTGAATATTGCTAAGTAACTACATATTGGGATATATGCATAGGTAAGATTTATGTGTCAAAAGGTAAAGAAAACAATTACTCTTGCTAGCACATATCATACAATTTTCTTCACTTCACTCAAGACAATAATCATTCCTTTGGGAAACAGGACAACTATGCTAGTTCATACTTTGGAGATGTTACAAAACCATGAGGCCTTTTGCACAATCTTCAAATACCGAGTACTCTAATTATGAATGACAACCTACCTTCCAAACCAAACAAATTGACTGATAGTCCAAACAAAATATGTATGAAGCGAAATTCACATAGAACTTACAAATACAGAAATATTTATTTTGCAAAGCTGAGTCCTCTTACGAAGAGTCATTTTCCCACTATTTTTCATGCCATGGTTTTTTCCCACCCACGACATTGATATCCAATGTCGTCAGCATGTGCTCCTGCAACCAGGTCCTTCTAATCCCTTCAATTTTTCAGAAGTACCAAGACAGCAACAGCCTCACATGCTAGCAGCCAGCCCATGTTCCAAAAAAAACAAAGACTTCACATATGTGCAACACCGTAGAGCAAATATAGAAATTCCAACATATCGCACAACTGCAATTTTATTTTAATTGACCAACATCAATATAGTCTATGCTCCTTCATTGGTAAGTAGGAAAATTGTACCAAGCTTCAATTGTTCAGCACTTCCAAAGTCAAAGCAAATTTATAGATAGTTTCTTCCTTTTCAATATTTCACTAACAACATAAGTTATAGATTCCATCAAAAAGTAGCTTGCACAGGAAGAGAAGGTAACTTGCCCAACGGCTTTTTAGTTGTAGAGATAGAGATTCATCAAGAATATGTCGGTGTCGAAGGAGAGGGAAATGATTTGTACTGCCCTTGAGTTATCAAGAATATGATGGAAGCAGTGGCCTTCGATGGAGGCGGCACCTCGGTTGCCACCCCCACTGTACCCTCCGCTTCCTCCAATGGGCTGCTCATTGGGGACCTTGCTAACTCGTAAACGACATCGTCACTCCCGCTACCGCCTTCTCTGCCAGTGCCAATCACCCCCAACTCTGACCTTCAAACCAGCTAAACAAATAACTCTTTATTAGTAGCCACACAATGATATATTTCTCTATTTGAAATATTATATTTTCTTTGAATGTGCTTTGTCGAAATTTCATTTTGTAAACTGTGTCTATGTCCAAAGTGATTTGCATTTGAAATATTATGAGAACCATGCTGACGTGGGTTGCTGCTCAATCGGCTTGTGGTTGCTACTTTCTAAACAAACACTGTAAAGTTGATATATCTGCTAGATTCTCCTTTTGATGCACTACTTATGGGTGTGTTGTGTAGGACCTTAATAATTAGTGCTGTTGGCAGGTACGGTGCTGGTATTTAGTTCTAGTTGGCATTTGTTTTAGTTAGCCTTTTGTTTGGGCTACTGAAGTTGATTGGATTATATTTCTGCAAGTGGGTGTTTGTTCGGAACAATACTGTTTATGTCATAAACACATAGTATGAAGTATTGCTGAAGTGTGGTTTTCATACGTACAAGATGCTTGAAGTATTCTCAAAGCAAAGCAATCTTTATATACTCCTATCCTATACCATATTCTGTGGGCAGACGTTTAAGAATTTCCCCTTTTTTGTGGTCTGCGGTGAATGCACTATATAATGCTTACACTAGTGCTGCATCCTTTTGTGAGTACCCTATTGGTAGCATCCATTGTATTTGTTTTCTATACAAGGAAAAAAAAATAGGCGCACTAGCCAAGCTGTAGCAAGCAATTGTGAATTATTGATGTTGAACATGCTGTTAACGCTCAAACCATTTTCCTTTGGCAGCTATCAGTGAGGAACTGCTTCATCAGGGGCTCGGTTGTGCGGTACGTGCTGCTCCCACAGGACGGTGTGGATATCGACATCCTCCACGACGCCACCAGGAGGGAGGCGCGCGGAGGCTGATCGGCACACCAGCTGCTTCCCCGGGAGGAGATTGCCTTGCCCTGATCTGATTGTACGAAACATGCATGCATGGTGGTGTGGTAGACACAGATGCTGAGTGGCCGAACACCCCTACTTATTTAACTAGTATAGTGCCCGTGCTAACGCAACGGCAACATTTCAGAGAAACATCTAGTAGCCATGCACGTGCGACACTCACATGTCTATGGTAATACATACTCATATCTAAACGTGCGATGGAAGTTGCTCCTATGACACCACGGACTAAGCATTATATATATACACGCCCGTGTCCGATACAAGTTTCTTATAGAGGAATACCCAAATAGCAAAGATATGTTTTGAAGTCATTTCCTAAAGCATATAAAAAATTGTTATGCTCATGGTGACCGTTTTTACAACCCAAATTCAATCCCTAATGAAAATTTGCTCTTGTTCATTCCAAATAACTAAAAGATGAGTTCACCTCTTTAATGTTTGCTTGGTTCAATTTTGAAATCTCTTGAAGTCCTTTGTACTGACAAATTGGAGAATGATTGAACCACTTGACAAATGCCACTGTCCACCATGTTTTCTTCAGCCTTTAATCTGAAATTTGCCATGACCATGGAGCTTCAAGATGGCAAAGATATAAAATCAAGCTTGCAAACAATAAGAGAGCAACCATCTAAAAATGTATAAAGACATAAGGTAACCAATAAGTGAAATCAAATATTAGAAATGGTAATACATTAACTGAAGACTTATGTTAATTTTGGGAAGATTTGGGCCCTTTTAAGTGTGGTTCAGTAAATAATATACAGGGGAATACAATGTGCGAATGATAGAACAGAAACATGTGAGAATTATGATAGAACAAAAGAGCCATCGTCCTAGCTTGCTATCTAACACCACTTCTAATGGGACGAATTAGCACCTACTTATATCGCCATATTACTGTAGCAAGAAGATTCCTGGAGAACAGAAGACGACCAAAGGAAAATAGCCACTCCAGCTCCCAAGACGATTTTTTTCTGAGTATTGTTTAGCTACTCTAACATTGGCTGCTTATATATGTTTAGGTTTGATAAATTTCTCAAAAGGAAAATGCAGTAACCATGAGTAATCATACCGTAATCAGACTTACTTTAAACATCAAGTAAAGGTAATAAAGACTACAGGCCTTCATTCATAATACAATTTTGCAATTTTTTTTTTTTTTTTTTTGCAAATTTTACAAATGTTCAACTTTCAGCAGCTAGAGAAACCAATGCACCTGTTAAAGGTTGGAAAAATAATATTGCAAGAAATCAAGTGAACTATACCAGGTAGAACCAGGACACATTCTTCTTTGATCAGTTCACGTGCAAAGTCCATGTCATCGGCAACACCGTATAGAATTGAAGTGTTGATCTCAACCTGCGGGGTTTTGTGAAGATCAACACTTTGTATTATTGGGAAGCAACAAACTTTCGAATACTGATACTTGTGTATCTCTGACTAACCATGATAAACATTGAACCCTCAGGCTTTGAATAGCATTTCAGGGCTTCAATTTGGTTCGCTCTTCTCTACAGAGCGTCAGCTGCAGACTCAAGCAGGTAAACAACATTCCTATGGAACTCATGATGGTCAACTGAGAATCTTTGGAACTGCCGCCTATGTGTCAGCCAGCGCGCGGATGTCGGCAAGGTCGGCCTCCCAGCCACACCGCAGCACCAGGTCGTAGAACCGGGGCACGGCGCCGGCGATCTCGCAGGACCGCAGGAGGATGTTGGCCCTTGGAGTCCCGCCGAGCACCGTGGTGATGGCGCCTGTGCCGCCCACCGTCATGAACACGTCGGCTTTGTGGGTGCGTGGCGCGCGCCGGCGGACAGGTACTCGGCGACCGCGCTGTGCGTCGCAGACCAGCTATCCCTCCCGCACCTCCCCTGCTTCGACTATGCCGCCACGCTCGACCGCGCCGTGCACCTCGCGCCCTCGTTCAACACCACGGCGGCCCACAAGACGGACGCGATTCTCGCCCAGGCCCGGTTCCTCTTCCGCTGCGCCAAGTGGTCGCTCACCGCTGGCCGGTGTTGGAAATAATATGGGCCTGACCCATATAATATTTAATAAATCAAATAAAATTTTATGGTACGTAACATTAAGTGTTGTATGACTTAATATTATATGAGATTTTAACTGAATGTTGACTCAACTTATATGGTTGGAAATTATTCATCTAAATTGAGAAGCTGAGAAAAGGATAAAGGCGTGCCACGCACGCGCGCGCCGCCGCCGCCACCTGCCGGGCCGTGGCCGAGGCAGGCGGGCGGCGAGCGGGCGTGGCTAGTCTTTTGCCACTTAAATCCACATTATCACGGGAGTTTCACTCCTCGATTGTGGAGGCGTACTGACTGCGTCATACCGTCCCTTCCGCTTCCGTCTCCTTCCCCGGTCGTAGCCATACATCCTGTCTTCCGTCAGTCCAGATCCTGTCTTCTGCAACCACTCCCGAGAGAACCATAAATCAGCAGCCTTCTGACTTCCCCGTTTCGTACCTCTGCGCGCACGGAGGAGCGGGAGAGGTGATTAGGTTTTTGGGGAGTGATTCGCGACTGCTCGTCCATCTTCTTTCTGCTGGAGATCGCTCTTGGATCCGTCTTCTTCCTGGAACATCAAGACGTCTTCTTCCTGGTGATCCATTCGTGGGACTGCACTGCGAACATCTTCCTGCATCGACTGTGGTCCACGACTTCGAGCAACGCACTATGTCGACTAGTGCGAATGGAGCCTCCGATGCCCTCGGCATGGGACCCTCCGCTGGGTACAGTCTAATCTCTATGATTATTGTATTTTGTATTCTTACTGTATCAATCACTATGTCATCTATGCATGTTGGAGCGTTCATAAGAAATATACACATGCACCCTGCTGATGTTATATTTCTAGATTAAACTGATAATGAAAATGCCTAAATTTCTAACAATCCAAAAACCTAATAATAGGCAATTTTCTATCAGTGGATTTGTTGCCGCTTTGAAGCCGAATAATTTTGATGGCAAGAATTTTATGATATGGAGTGCAAAGATGGTATTGTGGTTGACTGCGATGAACTGTTATCACGCCGCACAGGAGAAGCCTGAACAGTTTACTCCCAAGGAGGTGCGAAAGTTCTTGGCTGTCGATAACCTGTTTCGAGGCGCCATGATTAGTGCACTTCATCCCAAATATGAGAAAAACTACATATCTTGCACATCAGGCAAAGAGTTATGGGATGCTCTTGAGGCAAAGTTTGGGGTTTCTGATGCTGGCAGTGAGCTGTACCTCATGGAGCAGCTGTATAACTACAAAATGGTTGAAAACCGTTCTGTGGTCGAACAGACTCATGAGATACAGACGCTAAAGAAGGAACTAGAATATTTTCTATGTCTGTTGCCCGACAAGTTTGTGGCCGACGGTATAATCGCTAAGCTGCCACCTTCTCGGATAGATTTTGCTACTTCTCTAAAACACAAGAGACAAGAGTTTAGCGTGGCTGAGCTCATTGGATGTCTTGATGTTGAGGAGAGGGCGAGAACAAACGACAACCGTGAAAAAGGGGTTGAGTCTTCCGCTGCCAATATGGTGCAGAAGAAAAACTCATTTGCATCTCGTAATAAAAAGAAGAAGAACATGCAAGAGAATAACGATGCAAAACCTAAGCAGACTGCACAGTTTAAGAAGAAAAACAACAAGAAAGGTGGAGGATGTTTTGTTTGTGGGAGTGATGAGCATTGGGCAAGTGCGTGCCCAGACCACAAATATAAGCAAGAAAAGAAATCAGCAAACGTGGTCATTAGCGAGACTGGAGGAGGAACATCTAGGTATGGTAATTCTTTACCCTTTGTTCTTTCAGTTTGTCTTTCACCTGAGTGGTGGATGGACAGTGGTGCTAATATTCATGTGTGTGCTGATGTTTCCTTGTTTATTTCCTATCAGGCCAGCAGGAGTGGAGCTTTGCTGATGGGAAACGGTTCGCATACGCGTGTTTTTGGTGCTGGTACGGTCGTTCTGAAGTTTACTTCGGAAAAGACGGTGCTATTAAAGAACATGCAGCATATCCCCTCCATCAAGAAGAATCTTGTTAGCGCTTCGCAGATGTGTCGCGATGGTTTTAAAATTGTGCTTGAGTCTAATAAATGTATTGTATCGAGACATGGAACATTTATTGAAAAATGTTATGATTGCGGAGGCTTGTTTCGCTTATCTTTGCTTGATGATGTGTGTAATAAAGTGGTGAACAATATTAATGTTTCGGATGAGTCGAATATTTGACATTCACGACTTTGTCACATTAATTTTGGCTGTCTCAAAATATTTGTAAATCTGAATTTAATCCTGAAATTTAACTTAGTCAAAGAATCTAAGTGCCAGGTGTGTGTGCAATCGAAGCAACCGCGCAAACCTCACAAGGCTGCTGAGGCGCGGAACTTGGCACCGTTAGAACTCGTTCATTCTAATTTATGCGAAAATGAATGGCGAATTGACTAAATGCGGTAGACGATACTTCATGACATTTATAAATGATTGCACTAGATTTTACTACGTGTATTTATTAAAAACTAAAGATGAAGCGTTGTATTATTTTAAAGTCTATAAAGCTGAGGTAGAAAAACAACTTGAGAAGAAAATCAAGCGTTTACGGTCCAATCGCGGGGGAGAATATTTCTCAAATAAATTTTCTGAGTTTTGCGCGGTGCATGGAATTATTCATGAGAGGACGCCACCATACTCACCACAGTTCAATGGGATTGCAGAGAGAAAGAACCGCACTCTAACTGATTTGGTTAATGCCATATTGGAGACTGCGGGACTATCTAAGGAATGGTGGGGTGAGGCTATTTTGACAGCATGTCATGTTCTGAATAGAGTGCCCACAAAGAATAAAGAAATTACACCATTCAAGGAATGAAAGAAGAAGAGATTAAATCTCTCTTACCTGCGAACTTGGGGTTGTTTGGCAAAGGTGAATGTGCCAATAAACAAAAAGTGAAAGC